TGCTACTGCTGCTGCTTCTGCTGCTGCTAGTGGTGTTCCCGCCACTGCGGGTGGTAGTTCTGTTGCTGCTGGTGCTGCTGCCTTTGGTGCCAGTTCTGCAAGTGCAAAAGCGCCTGGCCTGGCGTCAGAGGGTGAATTAGACGAGCAGATAGGAGGGCTCATAGTGGCAACCTTCGACGTGCCAAGGATGTGGGCGCCCGTCTTTCAGGTGCGGTGCCATTGCTCCCAACGGTGCTGCTGCAAGTGCTAGTGCTGTGAGTGCTAGTGCTGTGAGTGCTAGTGCTGTGAGTGCTAGTGCTGTGAGTGCTAGTGCTGTGAGTGCTAGTGCTGTGAGTGCTAGTGCTGTGAGTGCTAGTGCTGTGAGTGCTAGTGCTGTGAGTGCTAGTGCTGTGAGTGCTAGTGCTGTGAGTGCTAGTGCTGTGAGTGCTAGTGCTGTGAGTGCTAGTGCTGTGAGTGCTAGTGCTGTGAGTGCTAGAGCTGTGAGTGCTAGAGCTGTGAGTGCTAGAGCTGTGAGTGCGAGCAGACAGGAGGGCTCATTGTGGCAACCTTCAATGTGGCAAGGATGTGGGCGCCCGTCTTTCAGGTGCGGTGCCAGGTGTTGGCGATGCTAGTGTTGGCGATGCTAGTGTTGGCGATGCTAGTGTTGGCGATGCTAGTGTTGGCGATGCTAGTGTTGGCGATGCTAGTGTTGGTGCTGCAAGTGTTGGTGCTGCAAGTGTTGGTGCTGCAAGTGTTGGTGCTGCAAGTGTTGGTGCTGCAGGTGTTGGTGCTGCTAGTGTTGACGCTGCAAGTGTTGGTGGTGCTAGTGTTGGCGCTGCAAGTGTTGGTGCTGTGGTTGCTAGAGCCATGAGTGCAAGCAAATAGGAGGGCACATGGTGCCAACCTTCAAAGTGGCAAGGATGTGGTGTGGACGCCTGTCTTTGAGGTGTGCAAATTGGATGCTCTTTCCTCGCCTCGTTGCTTTCTTCTCGGTGTTCCTCTCCCTCATTTCCTCCTTCTCTCCCCTCTCTCCCACACCCAATCTCCATCCCTCACTCCCCGTCTCTTCTTCTTCCCTTTCTTCCTCTTCCGTCCGGCCGCTTCCCTTCTCCTCCGTCCTCCCACGCCCACCCCTCTCCCAGTCCCTTTCCTCTCTCTGCGGTGGGCCGATTGTTTGACTCCACAGATGGTGGGAGGCGGCTGGTGCTGGCACGCCTCTTTTTCTCCTCAATCTCCCTCCCCTACCCTCCCTGCCACCCACTGCACCCTCCCTGTTCACTCACGCACCCCCTTCCATAGTCGCACCATCCGATGACCAAAGCGGTGGTGGGCCACGTGTTTGACTCCACAGCCGGCAGGCGGCGGCTGGTGGTAGATGGAGGCAAGGGGAGCAGCAGTGGCACTAGCAGCAGTGGCACTAGCAGCAGTGGCACGAGCAGCAGTGGCACGAGCAGCAGTGCGCCGCAGGAGGCAAAGGGATCGTCTTTCCCTGCGGAGACACGTCCACTGAACCTTGGGAACTCGCTGCGTACTTTTGAACTGGAATGCACGTGAGGATTTTGCTGTTCCCTAGCATCATTTCTCCTCCCTCACCTTTTCTCCTTTCCTTGTGGGGACGCATCCATTGAACCTTGGGAACTCGCTGCACACGTTTGAGCTCGAATGCATGTGAGGATGTGCATTTTCCACTTGCATTTACGCTCCTGTGCTTGGGTGGTGGGAATGCATGTTGAGCTGGGTGGAATATTGCATGTGGGATGGTTGAGTTGACTGAGGTCAAGGGCAAAGCCATGGGGGCTCGTGGGGAACCTAAACTCGCAACTACCATTGCCTGCAACGCAGAGACCCAAAGCTTCCATCCGCCACTCTCCCCCTCCCTTGCTTCTTCGCCCTCCCTTGCTTCTTCGCCCTCCCTTGCTTCTTCTCCTCCCTCCCTTGCTTCTACACCCTCCCTTGCTTCTTCCCCCTCCCTTGCTGCTCCCCTCTCTCCTTTTCCGTCTTTTCCACCATCTTGCATGCACCCCCTTGCTTCCCTCACTTGCTGTACAACCCCAGGTTTGACTCCTCGTTGTGGCAGTGTGTGGCCGTGTGTCGCCGTGTTGGCGGTGTGTGGCAGTGTGTGGCCGTGTGTAGCCGTGTTGGCGGTGTGTGGCAGTGTGTGGCCGTGTGTTGCTGTGTTGGCGGTGTGTGCCAGTGTGTGGCCGTGTGTTGCCGGGTTGGCAATGTGTGGCAGTGTGTGGCCGTGTGTTGCCGTGTTGGCGGTGTGTGGCAGTGTGTGGCCGTGTGTTTGCCGCGTTGGCGGTGTGTGGCAGTGTGTGGCCGTGTGTTGCCGTGTTGTCGGTGTGTGACAGTGTGTGGCCGTGTGGTCCATGGGTGCCGTGTGGGGCCGTGTGGTCCGTGTGTGTTGCCACCTCGTGCGTCTGGAGTACGACTAACAGCGCCTCACCACTTCCATCCTCCTCCCCCCCCCTGCCCCCTCCCCCACCCCTTTCCGTCCCTCGCTACGTCCCCTTGCCCTCCCGTCTCCCCGTCTCGTATGACCTCACTCCCTTGCTTTCTTCGCCCAGGTACGACTCATCCCCTATCTCGTACCTGTGGCCGTCCCTCTGGGCGCTCTTGGTGGTTGTGCTCTACTCGCTGCTCGCCCTGCTCGTCTGGGCGGTGTGCTGCCATTTCGTGCGTCTGGAGCGGGACTACCAGCGCCTGCAGCGTCTCAAGGACAAGATGAAGGGCGCTAAGCTGGTGGCGGAGCACGCCGCCAAGGCCAAGAGCAACTTCCTCGCGGTCATGTCGCACGAGCTGCGCACGCCACTGAATGCCGTCATAGGTGCGCCCTTTTCCCGTGTGCCGCCCTATCTGAAAAGGTCTGATCGGTGTCGGATTCGCTGCCTCCTCGTGACTACCAGCGCCTGCAGCGCCTCAAGGACCACATGAAAGGGGCTAAGCTCGCGGCGGAACACACTGCGAAGGCCAAGAGCAACTTCCTCGCCGTCATGTCGCACGAGCTGCGCACGCCACTCATTGCCGTCACAGGCATGTGTTCTCCTAGCTTGTATGTGGCTCGAGGATAACATGGGAGGGTGGTAAGATGGTTGGTGAGCACGCTGCCAAGACCAAGAAGGACTTTCTTGTCATGTCACGCGAGTTGCGTCGCCATTGATTGAATGTCATTATAGGTACGACATCTTAGCTCTTAGGCCATGTACACAGCAGGATGAGGGGGTTAATCTGGTCGCAGAATACACCGCCAAGGCCAAGAGCAGCTTCCTCGCCATCATGTCGCACGATCTGTCGCCGCCGAATGCCATCATAGGTACGCCCCTATCTCTTAATCCGTCTCCTTATGGTGATCGTTCTTGATATGCACCGAAGCCAGTTCATATGTTTCATACTTTTGGCCCGTGAAGATTCCATAACTAAGTTTTTTGTGCATGCGCCTCATCTCCCCATCCCCTCTCCACATGTGGGGCCAGACATGGTCGCGCTGATGGATATGTCTTTGTACGAACATGTGGATATGTCTTTGTACGAACATGTGGATATGTCTTTGTACGAACATGTGGATATGTCTTTGTACGAACATGTGGATATGTCTTTGTACGAACATGTGGATATGTCTTTGTACGAACATGTGGATATGTCTTTGTATGAACATGTGGATATGTCTTTGTACGTACATGTGGATATGTCTTTGTACGAACATGTGGATATGTCTTTGTACGAACATGTGGATATGTCTTTGTACGAACATGTGGATATGTCTTTATACGAACATGTGGATATGTCTTTGTACGAACATGTGGATACGCATGTTAATGCTTTTGTTTGCATCTGGCTCCCATCCCTTGTTCCTTTTTACCTCCAGGCATGATGAATCTACTGGTCGACACGCCGCTAGACGCCACTCAGCTAGATTACGCCGAGACGGCTCGAACTAGCGGGCGGGCACTTGTGTCTCTCATCAACGACATCCTTGACCTGTCTAAGATTGAGGTAAGCTTTGCTTTTTTAGATGTATTTTGAGTGGACTCAAAATGCACCTGGACTAGTGGGCGGGCACTTGTGTCTATCATCAACGACATCCTTGACTTGTCTAAGATTGAGGTAAGCTTTGCTTTTTTCGTCAACTCAGCTACTCGACTAGATCATGCTCAGACGGCTCGATATGGTGCATGGGCGCTTGTCATTCTCGTCAACAACATCTGTGACTAGTCAAAATGAGGTAAACTTGTTAAGATATGGTGCATGGGCGGTCGTCGTTCTCTCTCAAAGGACTGCCGTTTTAAGGACTTTTTCTCTCTCCAGCTAGTTACCTCGTCTTCTCTTCCCCCCTCCCCCTCCCCCTCCCCCCCCCCCCCCCTCCCGTTTTTTTTCCCACGAGGCAGCTTTCCATGCAGCATCCGCATGCATTATGCCATAATATGCTGTGTTTGCTATGCCATCCCATGCCATGCATTCTCTTCCTCCCTCCATCTCTCAATTGACAAATCTACGGACCTTAATCATTTGTCATGCCTGATGTTTCAATGCACTCACGCCAACGGTGATAAGCTCTCTAGCCTTGAGACTCTCGAGTTGGGTGAGTTGGAGTTGCGTTGATTTGTCCGAGTCAACCAGTCGTCGGAAGATGCGTCGGAGTTTTATTCTTGTTACAACCTAACCAGGCTTCCCAGATCGTTTCCTGGGCTGTCCAATCCATTTTTGAGGCGCCTCAAAAATCGTTTCCTGGGCTGTCCAATCCAAGGAGCTGCTTTGTGTGTAGTAGTTATCATTTATCTTTGCTTCCGGCTAGCTTTGGGAGACTCGCATCTCTACGTAGTGAGGCGAGCCTCCCAAAGCCAGCCGGAAGTGAAGGTAGATGACAACAACTACATATAGAGCAGCTCCTCGGATTAGAGAGCTTGGGAAACGATTCAGGAAGCTTGGTTAGGCTGTAGCAAGAATGGATATCAATGCTCCTAGGCATCTTCAGGCGATCGATTGACTCGGGCAGATCACGCAAGTCCAACTCGCCCAACTCGAGAGTCTCAAGGCTGGAGAGCTCACACACCACTGGCTGGAGCGCTTCGAAACACCAAGCATGTTAGATGATTAAGTTCCGCGGATTTGTCAGCTACACGTTTCTGGGAGAAGGCCCGCTAGCCCATGCATCTCCCAATACATCCTCTCATAGATCCCCCATACTCACGAGCTAACGTCGTAATGTTCGAGAAGGCCCCCCTGGACATCCGGGGGGACGTGGACGAGGTGCTCACCATGTCTGTGCATCAAGCTATTTTAGATAAGAGCCCTCTGCCCCCATTCACTCTTCCCTATGACCCGAAGGCAAACCGAAAGGTTCAAGAAAAAGCCCTTCTGAACATTTGGCAGGACGTGGGCGAGGTACTGTCCATGTTTGAGGGGCGATTGGGGGAGAAGCCATGTTTCCCCTTACCCCCTCCCACTCCTCCACCCCACTCACAGGCCAATCGCATGGTGGTACAACGAGCCCCCCCGGACATTCGGCGGGACGTGGACGAGGTGTTGACCATATTTGTGGAGCGAACTCTAGTAAAAGTCTGGTCTCCCATCCATGCATGTTCATCCTTCCCGACACCCACAGGCCAATCGCATGGTGCTAGAAAGAGCCCCCCTGGATATTCGACGGGACGTGGACGAGGTGCTGACCATGTTTGTGGAGCGATTCCGGGAGAAGCCCCAGGTGGAGGTGGCCGCCTATGTGGACCCATCGGTGCCGCAGCTGGTGCTGGGGGACTCCCTCAGGCTCAGACAGGTGTGGTGCGGTACAGTGCGGTACCGTGAAGTGCATGTTGTGTTTTGGGCGTCTTAGATTCTGGGAGAAGCCCCAGGTGGAGGTGGCCGCCTATGTTGACCCATCTGTTCCCCAGCTGGTGCTGGAGGACTCGCTCAGACTCAGACAGGTACGGTATGATGCGGTGTAATGCGGTGCAGTGCGGTGGAAGTCAAGGGGTGCGTCTGATGTGGAGGTGGCCCCGTGTGTGGATCCCTCTGCGCCCCAGCTGGTGCTGGGGGACTCGCTCAGGCTCAGGCAGGTGCGGTGCAATGCGGCATGATGTGGTTCTGTGGTGGTCTGTGCGACGTTATAGGTTTGTGGACTTCTCAGAAGTAGGAAGAAGCCCCAGGTGGAGGTGGCCGATTATGTGCTGCAGCTGGTGCTGGGGGACTTTTTCAGACTCAGGCGGGTGCGGTGCAATGCGGTATTTATATACATGTGGTGTTGTAGTGAAGTGTATGTGGTATTTTATAGTGCAGTGCACGCATGTGGTAGATTATGGTGAAGTGCATGTGGTACTCTGTAGTGAAGTGCATCTTGTGCTGTTTTATAGTGAAGTACATGTGGCGTTTGGGGCGCTAATAACCAGGGAATCGCTCCAGGTGGAGTTGGCCGCTTGTGTCGATCATTCTGCGTTGAAGGGGGTAAAGTCATTCGGACTTTGACGAGTTGTCCTGTCAGCAGCAACGCAGCCCATGCAGGTTCTTTGGACCTGGACACGAGATCACCGTCGGTCCTCCTTTGATCCCTTCTCCCCACCATGTTCTCATCAATCAACGTGCTGCCAGACGCCTGCAAGTTCATTGGACCTGGACTGCAGCACTGTAACTGCCATCCTCTTTCATTCTCCCTGCTGCCACCAGGTGCTGATAAACGTGCTGTCCAACGCGTGCAAGCTCAGTGAATTTTTTGAGAATTCTACAAAAACTCACTCAGCGTGCTGCTCAGTGAACGTGTTGGACACGTGTTCGTTCATTGCATGATGCTTCCCGGCTTACTCCCCCGTTCACCCCCCTGTGTCCCACCAGGTGCTGATCAACGTGCTGTCCAACGCATGCAAGTTCACCGAACGTGGTCACATTCTGGTGTGCGTGCGCACGGCCTCCTTCAATGAGGACATCCGCCGCGTCATCGTGCTCAAAGGCGTCGCCAAGCGCACGCCCACACCCGCCCCCGTGTCTGCCGCCGCCGCCGCTGCCGCTGCTGCTAGAGTCTCTCCTGCTGCTGCTGCTGGTGCTGCTGCTGCTGCTGCTGCTGCTGCTGGAGGTGCCTCCTCTACTGCTGGCAGAAAGGGGGCAGTCCACTCAGCAGGAGCAGCAGCCGTAACAGGGGAAAGAGAATCGGCGTCAGCAGCAGCTGCAGGTGCAAGTGTGTCCGACACAAGGTATGCCAGCCAAGTGGCCCCTCTGCCCTTGGCCAACCACCACCAAACCAGCGGTCCAAAACCAGAAACCACCAGCTTACCCAGGCGAAACTCCCAGGGTAATCAGAGCGTGACACGTGGCAGGGGGGCAGGGGGAGAGGCAGAGGGAGGCGCAACTGCGGGAGGTGGTTGGCGGACGTCTATAGAGTGGTCCCCTGTGCAGGTAGGGACAACGGGTGGGGGGATTGCCAGGGGGAGTGTTAGGGGGAGCACCTGGGGGAGTGACAGGGCGAGTGACAGGGCGAGTCGAAGAGGAGGGGAGAGGGAAGGGCTTAGCCGAGGGGGAAAGGGCAGTTTCAATGAGCGGGAAAGAGGCGGGTTGGGGCGGAGCGGGAGTCCATTCTTGGGTGCTGTTGGTGCTGGTGGTGCTGGTGGTGCTGGTGGTGCTGGTGCTGCTTCACCATCTTCTTCCCGTTCTGCCTTTGCTGCTGTCACCACAACTGCTGCTGGCGCTACCACCCCTACTGCCTCACCATTACCGTCAGCAGCACCATTAGCATCACCATCAGCAGCAGCAGCAGGAGGAGGAGGAGGAGGAGGAGCAAGAGGAGCAGCTTCTTCCCCCGTCCCTGCATCAAGCACGACGCTGAGTGGCCTGGAGGCGGTGGACTCATGCAACAGCTGGACTAACATCTGTGCCATGCGCGCCCAAGCCAAAGCCGCGGCCGCACAGCAACAGGCGCGCCTCACTGCCTCAGTCTCCTCTGCCTCTGCCGCCTCTGCGGGTGCTGCTGCCACTGCCAGCACCAGTGCTAACCAAAGATCTGGTAACCGCAGCGCCGTCGTAACCGTTCTGCAGAGGAGTGTCCGTTTAGTAATCTCAGTGGAAGACACGGGCGTGGGCATCCCCTACGGAATCCAGCGCCACATCTTCAAGCCCTTTGTGCAGGCCGACGCGTCCAACACGCGCACGCACGGCGGCACGGGGATCGGCCTCGCAATCTCGCGCCAGCTCGTGAAGCTCATGGGCGGGCAGCTCACGTTTTCGAGTCATCCTGGTGTGGGGACAACATTCTATTTTGATGTTGTCGTGCCGTGTGCCAGTGCTGCGGAGGAGGCTGATGTTGCCGCGGCACAGACGCCGAATTCTACGGGAGGGATGCGTGGGTTTCCGGGCGTTGGAGGGGCCGCGAGTACAGGTGAGAGCCGGGGAAGTGGTGGTGCGCGGTTGAATGCGGTGGAGTTGCAGATGGGGTTTGATAGGAATGCTTCGGCCAAGGATCTGCAGGCGCTGGCGCAGTTGACGAGGGAGTCGAGTCGAGAGGCCGACTGGCACAAGCAGCTCCGCCCGGGGTGCCGCGACGGGCAGTTCCGAAACGTTTCGGCGCGGGTTTTGGATGGGAACGCGGTGCGGCGGGCAGTTGTGGAAAATTATCTGGAGCAGGTTGGGGCGAGGGTTGTGGGAGAGGGGGCCGAGGGGGAGGGGGACAGGGAGCGGGGGGAGGGGGATGGGGAAGGGAGGGGGGAGGGGAGGGGGGGAAAGCAGTGTAGAGTGGTGCTGGTTGAAGCCGATTGGCTGCGCGTCCAGCAACACCTGCGCAGCGCTGCAGTCCCCACCAACAGCAGCGGCAGCAGCAGCAGCAACAGCGGCGGCGGAAACAGTGGCTCTAGAATTTTTCCCAGAGACCCCAGTGGTATCACCGTGCTGGCGGATCCGAGTGGTAGCAGCCTCCCCAAGGACTCCAGTGCTAGCACGTTCCTGAGAGACCCCTCCCAGTGGGACGCGGCGATTCTGGTGACGCAGGAGCGGTTGGAGGAGGGTGAGGCGCGGCGGCGGGGCTTTGACGCGGTGCTGGCGAAGCCAGTGAGGTACGCTGCGCTCATGGGGTGCCTCGCTCAGGTCATGGAGCGGAGCAAGGGGGGGGTGGGCGGGGTCGGGGGAGGGGTTGCTGATGGGGGTGTGGATGGGGGTGGGGGTAGGGATGGGTATGGGGGTGCTGATGGGGGTGGGGTTGGTGATGGGGTGGGTGTTGATGCTGCTGGTGACGATGGTGTTGGTGGTGCTGCTGCTGCTGCAGTTGATGGTGGTAAGGCAGATTCACAAGGGGAGTGGCACAGGCAGCAGACAGGTGCCAGCGGCACCTACAGCACCTACAGCAGCAGTGGCAGCAGCAAGACCGAAGGCGACAGAAGCATGGAGGATTTGACAGCAGAGGCAACTGATGTCGCCTTCCCCCTCGCCTTTGCTGCATCTGCTTCCGCATCCAGCGACGCATTCCGCTCGTTTTCGGGCCACCAAGGGAACGGCGTGGTTTCACCACGGGTGCAGGCGCCTGGCTTGGCACCTGGGTTCTCGACTGCGACGGAAGAAGAGTCCGAGCTGGTGCCTTTCAGTGGGTGCATGGGGCTCATGCGAGGAGACTCAGCAGGAGTTGGTTTTGCCCGCGCTGAGTCAGCACGGAGTGACTCGGCACGAGTCGACTCTACGCAGGTTGACTCGGCTCGTGCTTACGTAGAGCAACCGGGATCAGCCAACGCGTTGGCAGAAGCAGCAGCCACTGGAGGAAGAGCAGTGGATGTGGCTGCTGCTGCTGCTGCTGCTGCTGCTGCTGTTGGTGGTGCTGCTGCTGCTGCAGCTCCTGCTGGTGCTGGTGGCGGTATTGCCTCTGCTCCGGGTGATGTGGCTCCTGTTCCTCCTCCTGCTCCTCCTCCTGCTCTTGCTCCTGCTTCTGGCAGTGTTGCTGCTGCTGCCGGTGTTGTTGCTGCTGCTGCAGCTGCAGGTGCTGCTGCTGGTTCGTTGCGGAGAGCCAAGAGCGGGTTACCGGGCCTTGGTAGAGCAGAGAAGCCGGGGGCAGAAACGCAGGGGATGGTGCGGCCGATAACCCGAGATGCCAGAACCGTCTCCGCGTCTCGTGCTGCTGTGGCTGCTGCTGTGGGTGTGGGAGGGGGGGGCGGAGGGGGTGCTGGTGTAGTGGCTAATAAGCAGCAGCAGCAGCAGCAGAGGCCAAAGTCCGCGAGTTTCCAGATGCTAGAAGAGGCTCTCAAGGACATGTCGCTGCTGGTGGTACGTGTGAACTCCAACCGATCCGGAGCTCGTTGGTTGGTTGCTTGACTTGCACATTCCATGCTCATTGCTCCGTCGTTTCCTCTTCAACCGCTCCCGCGCCACCCTTTAAGGCCCCTCGCACCTCCTCCTCACTTTCCTCTGTGTGTACCACCAAGGTGATTGGGGAAGTTGCTTTTTGAGTGGACTAAAAAATCCCCCTCGCACCTCCTCCTCACTTTCCTCTGTGTGAACCACCAAGGTGATTGGGGACGATGCTGCAGCGATACGGAATCGCAGTGGAGGTTTAGGCACCTCAAGTGTTCTCACCTCTACTCGTGGCTCCTTTCGTCTCTCTTCTCCCACCCCTCCAGGTGGACGACAACCTGGTGAATCGCAAGGTGATTGGCAAGATGCTGCAGCGGTATAGACTGAAGGCCCTCAGGCGTCTCAGATGTGCCCCTCTGCTCACTCTTTCCCCCATTTTTCTGTCGGCAGGTGGACGACAACCTGGTGAATCGCAAGGTGATTGGGAAGATGCTGCAGCGGTACGGAGTGGCAGTGGAGATGGTGGATGGGGGACGGAAGGCGATTGAGCGGCTAGCCAAGGGCAACTGGGACATTGACTGCGTGCTCATGGATATTCAGGTGGGATTGTTGAAACGTCTTTCCAGCTTTCTTCAGGGTGGAGATGGTGGGTGCAGGCAGGTAGGCTTTGGAAGGGTTTGCCTTAACCGTTTGGACGTGTCCTAAGGGTCTCCTCATGGTTGTATTGTATGCTCATGGCTGTGTGCTCATGCCTGTATGCTCATGGCTGTGTGCTCATACCTGCATTTTCATGGCTGTGTGCTCATGGCTGTGTGCTCGTGCCTGCATGCTCATGGCTGTGTGCTCGTGCCTGCATGCTCATGGTTGTGTGCTCCTGCCTGCATTTTCATGGCTGTGTGCTCATGCCTGCATGCTCATGGCTGTGTGCTCATGCCTGCATGCTCATGGCTGTGTGCTCGTGCCTGCATGCTCATGGTTGTGTGCTCCTGCCTGCATTCTCACGGCTGTGTGCTCATGCCTGCATGCTCATGGCTGTGTGCTCGTGCCTGCATGCTCATGGTTGTGCGCTCCTGCCTGCATGCTCATGGCTGTGTGCTCATGCCTGCATGCTCATGGTTGTGTGCTCGTGCCTGCATGCTCATGGTTGTGTGCTCCTGCCTGCATTCTCATGGCTGTGTGCTCATGCCTGCATGCTCATGGCTGTGTGCTCGTGCCTGCATGCTCATGGTTGTGTGCTCCTGCCTGCATTTTCATGGCTGTGTGCTCATGCCTGCATGCTCATGGCTGTGTGCTCGTGCCTGCATGCTCATGGTTGTGTGCTCCTGCCTGCATTCTCATGGCTGTGTGCTCATGCCTGCATGCTCATGGCTGTGTGCTCGTGCCTGCATGCTCATGGTTGTGCGCTCCTGCCTGCATGCTCATGGCTGTGTGCTCATACCTGCATGCTCATGGTTGTGTGCTTATGCCTGCATGCTCATGGCTGTGTGCTCATGCCTGCATGCTCATGGTTGTGTGCTTATGCCTGCATGCTCATGGCTGTGTGCTCGTGCCTGTATGCTCATGGCAGTGTGCTCGTGCCTGCATGCTCATGGCAGTGTGCTCATACCTGCATGCTCATGGCAGTGTGCTTGTGCCTGCATGCTCATGGCAGTGTGCTCGTGCCTGCATGCTCATGGCTGTGCGCTCATGCCTGCATGCTCATGGACATTGTAGTGATTGTGTAAGGGATGCTTCATTTGGCACACAGTGCACCATCAAATTTTCCCATGGCACCCGTTTCCCTTTACTCCCCTCTGCAGCAACCTCCCTTTATTTCTCGTGTGCTCTTTTACCCACTGCCCTGACACCCCCTCCCCCCCTCCTTTCAAATGCCGATTTTTTTGGCGTCTGAAAAAGTCCCTCAAAATGTACCTCTACCCCTGCACCCACTCCCCCTCCCCCCCCCTTTCCCCCCTCCCTTCAGATGCCTGAGATGGACGGGTTTGAGGCCACAGAAGCCATCAGACGGCTTGAGAAGGAGAGGGAGAAGGAGAGGGAGGGGAGGGAAAGGGAGGAGAGGGAGAGGGATAGTGAAGCCGTGCTGGAACAAGCACGTTGCTCTCAAGGGTCACAGGCACAGACACAGGATGTGCCTTTGAGTCGCCTCAGTTCGCAAGGATCACCGGCACGGACACAGGATATAGCTGAGGCTGTGGCTCTATTGACCAAGGTAGGGAAACGAGCAGCACTGCCGGCTGCAGCAAACACGTTGCCATCAGCAGCTGCAAGAGGCACAGCTGAAGCAGCTGCAAAGCAGCCCACCCCTCCTTTATCCCCTCCCACTCTCACCTCCTCCATCCCCCCCATACAAGCACGAGCGCCAAAGTCACCCTTCCAGCCACTCTCCTCTCGATCCGGAATCTCCCCGCTGCCCCTCCTTAGAAGCACGCGTCACCGCAGGCACATGAGCAGCGGTGACCTGGACGGCCTAACCCCAGGGTACAGCCCATCCCAGGCAGGAGAAGCAGGGTCTAGGGTTTTGAGAGAGAGTCCCAGCGTGGGTGGAACAAGCGGGCAGGGAGGTGAGGGGGAGGTGAGATCTGGGGCGGGTACTCCCAGGGCGGGTACTCCCAGGGCAGGGTTTTCTAGGTTGGTGGAGTTGGCCAGTCCCACTTGGGGTAGGCAGCAGTCGCTGGAGCGGCATCCGTTGTTGGGAGGGCAGGAGGGGGCGCGGGGAGGGGAGAGAGGCGGGAAGAGGCAGGCTCAGCAGCAGCAGCAACAACTACAGACGCAGCAGCAACAGCAGCATCAGAAGCGAAGTTCCGAAGCAGACAGGGTGTTGATATTCGCGTTGACTGCAGACATTGGTGCAGGCACGAGGGAGCGGTGTGGGCAGGTGGGCATGGATGGGTACATGACTAAGCCTGTGGAGGAGGAGCAGCTGTGCCGAGTCATGCTGGGCCCTCTCAGACTGAGGAGGCAAATGAAAATGGGAGTGGGAGACACGAAAGAGTAGTGCTCTGAGTCAAACGAGTGGATTATTTTAACATTGTACAAAGTCACTAGGGAATCTTGTTATTGTAAGATGGCATGTGAGGCACACATGTTCTTGTAGCGATGGATTTTGTTGTAATACTATGAATATACTTCTTTGGCGCCGTAAGTAATACGGCAGAGGGGATGCCGTATTTGTACTACACTTTCAAACGACCACTGTTGCAGTCGTCATGGAGCTCCGAAGCGAATCGACCACTGTCACCATCAGCATCCACGGTTCATTACGCCAGCCAGTACCTGACAGGCTGAAATGGCGCGTGTTTCCCAAAATTGAGGACTTGCCCCAGCTCGTAGCCAAGCTTGACAGAAGGTGATCTCCTCAGTGCCATTAGGTCTACGTGGCGTGACGTTTGTCGGTTTCCAAGTTCTTTGTGCGTGCGCGTCATCTGACCCCCTAGGAGCGTTGGATGCTGGGATTTGGATGCTGGATGTGAGTGAGTGGATCGGGTTGCACTTGTTGACCCGGCGCTGTGCTGGCAATCCCAAGGAATTTGCGCGAAGAGTCGATTTGCTTGGTCAGACTTCACACCTGGAAACTATCCAACGTAATCTCTTGTCAGCTGACGTGCATTCTGAGGCCACCTCAATGCACGATGAGACTGGTGTGGTCCCCCGGCTGACGTGTTGTCATCGCAACACGTGGTAACTCTGTCGCTGGATGGGCCTTGGCCCCACAGCCATTACATCGCGACCCGTTGTCAGCCCACCGAGTGACCTGTACCAGACCTTGGCCTCGTGTGATGGCGCAGCGCCACAGCATCAGCTCAGCTCTCCGAACAACCACGCCAAACCTCCCGCTTGACTCCTGCGCAACCCGAAGCGGTTCCCCCCGACCGCAAATTTCAGGGATGCTCCTGCCGAAATCTGCCCGCGATCCATTCAAAGCAGCACACGATTCTGTTTCCTGGGCAGCCACGGCCCTCTTGTACCTGATTTCGCCAATAAGCGTCAATTTGGCCACCCGGCGGGGCAGTGCGCAAGAGCCGGGCAGATATCCCCCGGCGGATGCCCTGCGGAAGGCGTTCCGCAAACTGTGCTGGATTCTGGATAAAGAGCCCGGCGAATGAGAGAAGGCGTAGCAGCCAGTTGGGTTCAGGTCAGGACATTTGAGGAACGGGAGCGAGACAACCAAGCAAAGCCACCACTGTTCGAGCCAGCCAGACCCTCGGAATCCAGGGTTTCATTTCATCTCCTCGCCTCTCACACTCACCCTCCCACTACTCGCCCAGCCACCAACCCCCAGCGCCGCCCACACCCCCCCTTCCTCCCCCTCCCTCCCCCTCTCTGCATTTTGCGTAGCAGCAAGCAGCGACCAACAGTGAAGGGTCGCTGTGGATCGAGAGAAAGGGAAAAGCAGGTAATCAGGCACGGCAGAGTGCGTGCGACGGCAGCAGCTTGGATCAGCAAGCAAGCAGGCATTGCGGCAGAGAGGATCCAACGCGAGTGAACGGACGGACGAAGCAGTTGAAATAGTGACCGAGTTGGAGACAACACGTGAGCTAGTGTTAGCTTTGACTCTCACACGACTCACCGTACCCTCTCTATCTTCTATTTCTTTCGCGCCTCTCGGCGCCTGAGTCTTATCCTTAACTCCAAATACCCAATCTTCCAAATACCCAATCTTCTTTAGGGTTCTTAGACTCCGCTCGAATCGCAACATTATCTTCCAAATCCCACCATAGCAAGCCTAGAGCATGGCGTTCGCGACGTTATCGAGTTGGGATGTGCACCAAAGCGCGTCTTTTCCATTCGCCATGACGCGCTGCTCGCAGCCGTCATCGGCCGAGCCTCCATGCGAACCCACCTACGCGTCGCTCAAGCTCCATCCGCTGCTCTCTCCGTCGCAGGAGCACGTCGTCCGTCAGTTCTCGGCCCTCTCCATGCACTTACACGAGCAGCAGCAATGCCATCAGCAGCAGCAGGAGCAGGAGCAGCATCATCACCACCACCGCCATACTGCGAGCGAGCCCCAACGGCAACTGCAGGAGGAGCCGCATCGGCTTCATCTGTTGCCCTCTCTTAAGCAGAATGTTTCCTGTGTTGACAGCGAGCAGTTCATGGCTCGGGTTAACGTGGAAAATTCGGCTAATGCGGGTAACGAGGCGCAGCTTAACGAGGCGAGATTCGCAACATCCCCCGCTTCACCTGGCGTCGAGTTGGCGAGACTTTCTCCGCTTTTTTCCTGCCAGCGTGCGACGAACTCACCGTCGCACACCGTGTCGCACCCACCGTCGCCCGGCCGCGCAAGCGACGAAGTTGCGGAAGGTCCTCGTGACAACCTTGCCAGTGCTTGCACGGGAAGCGCGGGAAGCGCGCCAGTCTACAACAGCGGCGTCCTTCCATGGCTACGGAATCCCAGCGAATTGGACTTGAACCTTCCTGCTTCTCTCGCAGGTGCCGTCGCAGCGACCCCGCCACTTGCGCCGTCTTCTGCGGCCTTCCAGGTGCTTAATTCAAGCTTTTGGGACGCGAGCGCGACTTGCGGCGTGAATGGCGGCGCTGCATCGCCTCCTGTTTCGGAGGATTCGTCGGAGTCGTCGCTGGTGGAGTGCGGCAGTGAGAGCAGCAGCACGGACATGGATGACGAGGAGGATAATAACGAGGATGGGAATGAAGAGGACGATGAGGATGATGATGAGGAGGCAGACTCGGCCTTTAAGCCGTTGAAGCTGAAGAAGAAGGCGGCCTCACCCATGGCCTCTCTTCCCAGCAAGCGAAGCCTCTCGTCTCACTTTGGAGGCAAATCCCGGACGTTCTCATCCCTTGCTGACGTGTCAGCCATCCAGAGCATCCACGGCCTCGCGAAGCCGCCTCCGGGCCTCTGCCTCCGCCGACCGCGCCGTCAGTCGTGCCTCTCCTCCGCCTCCTCCGCCCTCCGCCGCAGCCCCTGCGCCATCCCCATCGCCGCTGCGCATCGCAGCATAGGCAAGCACCGCCTGGGCGCTGGCAGCGGATCTAGCAGCGGCAGCGGCAGCGGCAGCGGCGGTCTCGGGAGGCTGGCAGCCCAGCAGGTTCAGTTCTCGCTGGCGCTTGCTGTGACCATGGGAAGCTTGGGGTGAAAGGGGAATTGGAAAGGCAGATACTTGCAGTTTGGAGCAGTTTCAGGGGAGAAGGATTTCGCGTGGTGGCAACAAGACAGAGAGTTTGTGAAGTCAGATCGCTGTTGTGGCTGCAGGTTGTTCGTCACTTGAAGATGCAGCGGGTGGCTCTGTAACGTGAAGGCCAGTGCGTGATCTTTAAAATTGCTGGTGCGCTACACTTTGGAAGCTACAGAACAACCTCGATCTCACACTCCTACTTGGAGCTTTTGATCTGCTCTTCGCTTCCCTGCTACGGAGCATCTAGTCGTGGCTTCGTGGACGCTGGATGGAAGCTTCTGCTGAGTGTTGGCTGTAAGCTGCCCCCTATTTTGACATGGCAGCTGATGGTGGTGTCTGGAGCCATACTTTTCGCTAATAATGCGACGAGAATCTGACAGCGGGCTTTTGAGCATTCACTTAGAACAGGTCAGGCCAGGAAAGGGGTGGCAAATTTTGGACCAGTTGGGTCATGCCTTGTGCCTCTTGCTGGTTTTGCCCACCCCTCTTGTGCTGCTCGCAGTGAGTGCTATATTTTGGCTACTTGGTATTGGGCTGTAGGCGTGCCTGCTGATTGGATGTGCTGTTGATCAATAAGTGATGGGCCTCTGGTCCACCCTGATTTCTGTGATTTACTTTGCATCCTTAGCTTTCTTGCACCTGCTTATTTGGTGCATGAGAGCAGGACACTGGTAGACAATGGGTACCGGTAATATAAAAAGCCATACAGTGTACACCACCGTGCATGTGCTACAAGTGTACATTGGCTTGGCACTGCCTCCCTGCGCTGGTATTCATGAACAACCCTTTCCTTGCTAACCTTGATGCACAGATGACAGCCTAGGCAGGACTGCAGAAACACAAGTACTGTTGTAGAGGAAGAAGGGGACCTACCTAGCTGTAAAAGGCAACTTCGAGTCCATGGAAGGCAATACAGTGGGGTCAGGTCGGTCAATCCTGGTGGTGAAATACATGGATGGAACTGATGGCATGAGAGTGGGGCGTCTTGTGACGCGGAGCCGACCAACCAACCACGCTCAGGAACATGAGTTGGCACCGACATTTGGTTGTCACACGTCGAGTCGATCGCTGGGGTTGAGACGAGAGTATACGTGAAGCAGCCGCGAAGCTTGAGGGGATACGTGGCAGTGCGCAGGGCGATAGGTGTGGGGCTACAAGGGCACGAGTGTGGCAAGCGAGGGCCGACGGGCACAGGGGGTGATCAGTGCAAGGTTACAGGAGCATGGGGGTGATAATCGCGAGGCCACTTGAGTGAGCATGGAGGCACTATGGGAGCACAAGGCGCTGGCCGGAGTAGATTCTGTTGACGTCACACACCTGTGGATAAGTAGGAACAACACAGAATGGATAGTGCAGATTGCATAATGAGACCACAAGCAGCAACCAGAGAAGCCTGAAGGCCCAACGGCACGACACACCAAAAGAAAGCAAGGCTTGGTGCACGCTCAGCACAACAGAGGGCGAGGCTTACATCTGGGTTGAGTTTGAAAAAGTCCGAGCTGGGATTGCAGTAAACTTCACGAGGGAGGATGGAGCTGAGAGTTTCACCAGGCCTCACCACCCACACCCTGCGCGCATGCATTGCATCGCATGGAAGGGGGGAACTATTTAGCCGAGGACAGGAATAGGAAGGGAGTGGAGTCTAGGAGGACACAGGCGGATTTTGAAAATATCCAGCATCCACAAGGAGGACGTTGGATGGATTGAATACACGGTGAAGTGTGCCATGGTACGTCAAGGTAGAGTTAAGTACGTTCACAGAAAAGTGCCATGGAAGGGAGTGAGGAGGTATGCAAGGGAAGGCGGGAAGAAAACTGGGGGGTGAGAGGGAGGAGGGTGCAAGGGAGGGAGGATGGAAGGTAGTGAGGGGGTATGCAAGGGAAGGCGGAAAGAAAACTCGGGGGTGAGAGGGAGGAGGGTGTGAGGGAGGGCGGGAGGAAGGAAGGTAGAGAGAGTAGCACTTACTTCCCATCGCCATCAGTTCTGCGGATTGGGATCCAGAAGTGGCAAAGTGTGCAGATCGCGATTCCAACCATTGCCAACGTAGCAAGAAACAGCCATCGACCATCCAGAGCCAAATGCGCATGCGATGCCCGTGCCATGGCAGTCATACAAAATAGGGTGCAAATATGAGAGGTCGAAGTAGACAAGTCGACGGGGGCAGACAGAGAGATTTGCCAGCTCAGTGTGAGCAGTACGAACCAAGTCGATTAGAGAGAAACGCCAATTCAAGCCAGGGGATTTCAACCACACAGCAGGAGGAGGACTTGAGCAACGTGAGACGAACGTGGAGATGGCTAGAAAGTGGCAGTGGGATATGCATGGTGGGAGTGCGATCCGCATGGCAATGTCATACGCATGGCGACATGATATGCATGGTGGGAGTGCGATCCGCATGGGAATGTCATACGCATGGGCATGGCGACATGATATGCATGGTGGGAGTGCGATGTGCCTGACTCACTCCAGCTGGACGCGGCTCTGCTTTGGCGAGCGCGGCCAGAGAGCCACCATGGCCAGCATGAAAGCCCCCGTGCCCAGCACCTGCTTCATCACCGGTGTCAACCCATCTCCAAACCGCTGCACCTGCCTCAACAGCCCTCCGCTGCGATTCCCCCCGTTTCCACTTGCTCCCCTGCCCCTCCTAGCCACCCGCCGCTCTTCCCTCTGCGTGTCCGTCGTGCCTGAAGCTGACGACCCTTCCTCGCTCTCCGCCTCCTCCCCAGTCTCCCAACTGCTCTCTGCTCCCTCACTGTCCGCCATGGCTGGCTGCCTGCTGCGGCTTCCGCCAAGACCACTGTTAATAGCCCCACTGCCACCGCCACCGCCACCGCCGCCGCCACTGCCACCGCCACCGCGCACACTGGACTGCTCGCTCGCCCTGCCTGTCGCGCTGCTCATAGCCGCCTGCACAGAGGCGCCTGCAGATCCTGCTGCCGCCTTGGCTGAGACTGAGACTGAAGCAAGCTTTGCTGATGTCATGGTTGTCGCTTCGCTGGTCTGCTGTGTGGCCGACGAGCATGCATGCACAGAGAGAAGAGAGGATAACAAGCACAGACCAGAGAAGCTCATCTTTGCTCTCCTTTGAAAATATTTCGCACAGGACACACAACCCCAGAAACACCTGCTAAATTCTTCTGCATGCAGCAGTACCATCACACCCAAGCCCTGACACAGCCACACACACACATAGAGCTCGCACCTGTGTTGATGCGACCTGAACGACCCTCTGCGCCTCAACTGAGACGATTTTTGAGGCGCCTCAAAATGCCCTGACACATAAACACACACACATGGAGCTCGCACCTGCGTTGATGCGACCTGAACAACCTTCTGCGCCTCCTTAACCACCTCCACCGCTGCTGGTGCAATCGAATCAGCATCCTGAACCTCCGGAGCAGCAGGAGAAGGCGGAGCAGCGGAGGCTGCAGCTGCAGCTTGAGGGACGGAATCAGGGGCAGCAGTAGGAACGGGAGCAGCAGGGACAGCAGCTGCAGTGGCAGGTGCTGGGGCAACTGCAGCACTAACAGACTCTTCAAGAGACGATTCGGTATAAGCCAGACTCGTCATCGCTGCCATCGAACACCGTCATCACGTTTGACATATCAACAGGCGCTGCCGCCACAGCCACAGCTTCCTTGAGGGAAGCAGCAGCTGCAGCAGCGCTGGTTGCTGTATATGACGTGACAGGATCGATTGCAGCTGTCTCTGTGGTTGCGATTGTGCTGGTGGTGACGGTGGTGGTCGTCGTCGTTGTGGAGGCAGTGGTAGCAGTAGTCGCCTCTGTGGTGCTGGTTGCTGCCATTTCGGTAGCTGTTGAGGCCTCCGATTCTGCTGCTGCAGCGGCGGGAGAGGCCAGCACTGCGCTGACAGTGCGGGGAGTCACGGTGCCACTGGCAAGGGGAGTCACAGTGCCGCTGCTGCTGCTGCCATCCTTGCGCTGCTTGCTCATTGACCTCGCACGCTGTTGTGGATTGGAGGGTGGAGTAGAAGAGTGTGTGTGATCACAAGCATGGCAACAGACTCGAAATGACATCTGCTGAAAGGTAGTGCGAGATGTTGGAGCACGGGAAGAGACCTAGAGGAGTTTCTCCGGACTGCCCTTACAGATCTCTTTCCTGGTCCGTCATATGCTTAAAATTTTATTAACATTTCACATTGGAGGACACAGAATCTGCTCCAGAAGGAAACCACCCACCATTGCCGCAATCTTGGCCCGCTCCTCGTCACTGAGCATGAAGCTGGACTTGACGTGAACCTGGCCTCCGTTGCTCCACGGAAGCATGTCATCGCGAATTCCCTTTTCGACTACCGAAGGTACGGACAGAGCTGCATGACAAAAAAAGGTAAAACTATGTGAGTGTCAGGTCCCTATCCAACCAAAGGAGATTCACCTCGAAGCCTTACAGCTTCGACATGTTATGCCTGGTTCTGCAGCGAGTCATAAACCTTGACCATTCATGACTGAGGGAAGAGGATCATGGGAGATTAGGGTATGGAAGGACTCCCAGGAGTCAAGGAGAAAGAATCACCTTCCACTCAAAGGCGAAGAACTCACAGGCTTTGCCAACAGCTACTCCACGGGCGTCAAGGAGCGTGAAGACCACAGGATCGGTGAGGTTGAGCACGGCACTGCGTCAGAAATGAAACTTTGTTCTCAGAACTTAAGACATTGTCCAGAGACGAGGTAGATTCAGAACGAGGGAGAGTCAAAACGAGGGAGAGTCAAAACGAGGGAGAATCAGAACGAGGGACAGTCGGAACGAGGGAGAGTCAGGACGATGAGTCGTCAGGATGGGGGAGAGTTAGGAAGCGATACTCTCGTACAAAGCGAAGTCGGAGTTGAAAGCCTTGATAGACGACGTTCCTGATCCTCCTGAGGACGTCGACGATTGCTCATCCGTGGAAAATGCTCGAGCACCGACAGCGACTGCAATAACCCAAGTGAACCGTCAACACCCAAGTTCAACACCAGCTAAAACATATCTTCGTTTGAGAGCATGCCACACGAAACATACCTTGGACAGCATATTTCTTCCCTGCAATGTTGTTGCGGATTGGTCGAGAGACACAAGGTGAGAAGGAAAGTGCATAAGACGGGTTTCGTTAGAATGAAGGCAGAGCGGATTTTGTTGACGACCAGACGAGAGCTGGTTAACAGAGTAAAAGCTTATGAGTACCTGATGGGCCGGGAAGATCAACGACCTCCAAAACTGCAATAGTTCGACACGCAAGAACGAGCATGAACGAGGTAAATAGTTCTGACGGCGATTTCAACAAAATCTTACAAATCTATGCAGCCTGTGGACGAAAAGAGTTACTCCGAACTGGTTATGCCTTCCACTGAGCAACGAATAAGCACCTCTCCTACCATATATGATTCTGTCTAGGAACGACACTGGTCGGTCGGCTTCGGGAGACTAAACTACTTATTTGAGTGACTAACAACGTACCTGTGATTCGCACGGTGCCAGGCATGGCTGCTTGCAGTCTCGACGCAAGAGCTTCACGAAAAATGATAACTAAGGCCTACGAGGTCAAGCGCTGACTACTCAGGCATAAAGACGGGAGTTCTCGATGTAGAAGAATGTGAGTTCCCTATGGCATGGCGAGAGTAAAGCTAGCAACTAGACCAAAATGATGGAGAAATGCTAGAATCAGAGACCAGCAAGGCCATGCCACCCAGCAACAAAAACGGCCTTGCGAATTCCCTCCAGCCAGCCAGAGAGGCACCCTCTAGAAAACACAGAATGATTCCAGTGTGCTAAACGTTCGGTTGATTGCGTTTCAGTGAGCTAGATTCCGTTCAAAAGCGGTATATCTACTCCCCACTATTATGATCATGGTTTTGAGGAAAAAGCGAACGTTACCATCAAGCCGTTTCCAGGTCGTTCTGGCCGTCAGATTATCCCACTGTCGGGAGGCCATTCGTCAGTGTGGACGTTCCCGATGCCGGTTGCTTGCGAGCCCCAGATTCTCTCACAATCAGCCGTCCATGTCAGCATTGAGCGATTCGGCATGGCGATTCCCCGCTCGTGGGATCACCAAAATGGTTCCCGCCAACAGTTTGAAACGATCAGTTCCTAGAGAAGTGTTCCAAATAGAACCTGCTCTTATGCCAAGTACTATATTGTCTAAAACAAGTGTCAGGACTCATAATAGTTTCAGCCGCGGTTGTTTCACAGCACAGCATGGAAAGCATGAGACTACGCAACATGCATGAATCAATATTCAAAGCCGTGCCTTCAGGTCCTTGCGCAATACCTTGCCAGAAGCTGTCTTGGGAATGGCGTCCACAAAACGCACATCATGTAGCCTCTTGTATGTCGCCACCTGCGACGAATAAAGAATACATATGACATTTTTGTGTGAGCTCAACATGCCATGCCATATAGATGATTTCCCTGGAATAACACTCACCTGCTTGCTGATGAAATCCTTGACTTCACCAACTGACAACTGTGCACCACCTTGCTGTAACACAACGAATGCCACTGGCACCTCCCCGCTTTCTTCACTTGGAGCACTGTGAGTCGCAAAAGAGAGGAGGGACATAATAAACACACGGCATGGCACAGTCACGGGTACGATGCCACCACACACTCCACACTGCCAGAGAAAGCTCTTTGCGAGAGGGAAAGAATACAGCCATTGCTCCAGTTGTACAGAACAAGGTGGTTGAACGGAAGGAACATGAGACAATGCGAGTGTGAGGAAAAAAAGTGGCAAACAGGAAAGGCAGGAAAAGGGAAGGCATGGCATGGAGGCATACGGAACAACTGCAGCATCGGCAATGTCAGGATGGGAGATCAGAAGTCCCTCGAGCTCCGCAGGAGGCACCTGGGCGACCAAGCCAAAAGCGAGGAAGAAGCAAAAAAGCCCGATAATAGAAACTTCAGAAAGAAAAGGCTGCCTCTTGTGCGAAGTGACCAATAGCAGTAAGACACCACATCTCATTTGTAAGGCCATGTGAGGTGTGAGAGCTGCTCAGTCTCCGGCCCACTGAGAGAAGCTCTTGAGGCGATTCAGAAGCTGAAAACCTCTTCCTTCACCACCCAACCTCACCATACGCACGTTTGCACACCACATACGCAGCCACTGTGACCACAAATCATTAGCAAAGCATATCTATAGCCACATCTAACTAGAGCGGCTATCACTATAGTCACACCACGAATATCCCCCCCCTCCCATCCACATACACCGTATCCCCTGTGTGCATTCACTATTGTCACATCTCACTAGAGCACCATTCGCTATAGTCACACCACACCTGGAAGCCTTTGACTTTGATCAGCTCCTTGACTCTGTCCACCACGAATATCTCCCCCCTCTCATCCACATACGCCACATCCCCTGTGCGCAGCCAGCCGTCTGGTGTAATTGTGGCCGCTGTGGCTTCGGGGTTGTTGAGATAGCCTTGGGGGGAGAGGAAGGGGGAGAGGAAGGGAGGAGAGGAAGGGGGTTGTTGAGATAGCTTAGAGGTTAAGCCGAGGAAGGGTTAAGAGGAACTGACTTATGCGGGAAACGGTGTGCAGGGCAAGCGGAGCACGACGCCTGAAAAGGAGGGGGGGCGAGAAAACCCACCGTCATGACCTGTGGCCCTCGCAGATGTCCATGTGTGTCGAATCAAAAGCCACCCAGATGTCCATGTGAGTTGAATCAAAAGCCACCCAGATGTCCATGTGAGTCGAATCAAAATCCACCCAGATGTCCATGTGAGTCGAATCAAAAGCCACCCAGATGTCCATGTGAGTCGAATCAAAAGCCACCCAGATGTCCATGTGAGTCGAATCAAAAGCCACCCAGATGTCCATGTGAGTCGAATCAAAAGCCACCCAGATGTCCATGTGAGTCGAATCAAAAGCCACCCAGATGTCCATGTGAGTCGAATCAAAAGCCACCCAGATGTCCATGTGAGTCGAATCAAAAGCCACCCAGATGTCCATGTGAGTCGAATCAAAAGCCACCCAGATGTCCATGTGAGTCGAATCAAAAGCCACCCAGATGTCCCCCCCCGTACTCGGTAACAAAGACTCCCCCGAGCCCATGTGCGCGGCAGCAGGACTTTTAACTCTGTGACTTTTGAGTCGACTCAAAAGTCACCCAGATGTCCCCCCTCTTTTTTGGTAACAGAGACTCCCCCTGCCCGTGTGAGTGGCAGTAGCACCTTCACGCCTGTCACCACGGCACCGACCCACACGAGCATTGTTTTACACAAGGTACGTCAAAGCACACCTTGAAACACACGCACACACACTTACACACCCACATGCCCACATACACGCTCACACACACCCACACGTACACACCCACATGCAAACATTCACACACACACACACACACACACACACGCGCGCATGCACACACACACGCACACACGCACACACACACACACGCACACACACACACCCACCTGTCATGACCTGTGGCCCTCGCACCCAGAGCTCCCCCTCTTATTCGGCAGCAGCGACTCCCCCGTGCTCGTGTCAACCACCTTCACCTCCGTCAGCGGCAGCACCGACCCACACGAGCCGGGGGCAGGCGGCTGAGGCACGCGAGCAAAGAGGCGTGAGGCAGACACAGTGGGAGAGGCCTCTGTCATGCCGTAGCCCTGGCAGGGAGGAAGGAAGGAAGGAAGGAGGGGGGGGGGGGGAACGGGGGAAGCAGGAAAGAGAGTGGGGAGGAGGAGAGTCAACCACCTACACCTGGGACAGGGGGGACGGGGGGAAGCGTGGCAGGTGTGATGGGCGGTTGAATCGCATGTGGCAGGGTACAGGATGAGTGGATAGCACAGATAGCAGTGCACGCGCCTGAACCTGAACCAAGGTGCCTCAAAATAGGAGTCTAGTTTTGAGGCGCCTCAAAACCTAGACTCCTATCACGCGATTGCAGTGCACGCGCCTGAACCTGAACCAAGGACCTACCCCTGGTGTATCTCCCCTAGCTGCACCTACCTACCCCAGATATACCTGCCCCAGCCACAACAGCTCCAGATATACCTTCCCTAGATGCGCCTTCCTCGAATGTACCTGCCCTAGCTGCACATTCCTCGAATGTATCTGCTCTAGCAGCGCCTTCCTCGAATGTATCTGCTCTAGCAGCGCCTTCCTCGAATGTACCTGCCCTAGCTGCACCTTCCTTGAATGTACCTGCCCTAGTTGCACGGTTGGGAACTTGGCTCTGAAGGCAGCCTCTAGCTCCGGCCCTAGGGGTGCTGCCCCTGACACCACCCTCCTGAGGGCCGCGAGGTCAAACGCGTCCACCACAGGCAGCTTCGCCATAGCAAGTATAATCGGCGGCACGATGGGCGCCACCGACACCTGGTACTCCTGCAGAGTGCGCAGGTACTGCAGCAGGTCGAACCTGGGGAGGGTGACAACACATGCGCCAAGGGAGAGGAGGTTGACGAGGGTAATGGCGTAGATGTGGAACATGGGGAGGAGGGCCCAGGGAGGGGTCATCAGACGATGCTCTCAAACAAAACCACACCTCTATCACACAAACCTGGGGAGGGTGACGACACACGTGCCGGCATGGAGGGATGCGTGATGGCGTAGATGTGGAACATGGGGAGGAGCCCGAGGGAGGGTGACGAGACCTGGGGAGGGTGACGAGACGAACCTGGGGAGGGTGACGAGAAGAACCCGGGGAGGTTGACGACACAGGCCCCCGTACGGAGAGACAGGAGGTTGACGAGCGTGATGGCACAGATGTGGAACATGGGGAGGAGGTCCAGCACGGTGTCATGGGGGGAGAGGTCGAGTACTGAGACATCTCAAAGACCGCACTTCCATCACACGAACCTGGGGAGGGTGACAACACAGGCGCCGGCGCGGAGCGAGAGCAGGTTGACGAGGGTGATGGCGGTAGATGTGGAACATGGGGAGCAGGCCCAGCACGGTGTCTTCGGGTGAGAGGTCGAGGCGCGGGTTGGAGCCGGCGAGGAGCTGTTGGATGTTGGCAATGAGGTTGCGGTGGGACAGCATCACGCCCTTGGACACCCCGGTTGTGCCGGACGAGTAGGGCAGCGCACACGTGTCCAGCTGCAATGCTGCTGCTTCTGCTGCTGCTGGTTCTGTGGGAGAGTGGGGCTGCTGCTGTGGTCTTCTCCGCGCCCTGATCTGGGCTCCGTTTGCGCGGAACAGACGGTTGATGCCGATGGTGCCAGGAGGGACGGAGGTGCTTTCGGATGGGTTGGCCCTGCTGCTGCTGGCGGTGCTGCTGGCGGTGCTGCAGCTGCTGCTGTCGAAGACAACGAAGACGATGGACTTGCCAGTCTTGACATGATGCACCTTATCTGGAAGGCGATGGCATGGGGAGGAGAAAGGAGGGAGAGGAAATGAGATAAGGACCGTCTCATATGATGGACCGTCTTGACCACCTTGACCCACCTTGACCGTCTCACGGTAATGTACTCAAAATTCTCATATGATGGACCGTCTTGACCACCTTGACCACCTTGGACCACCTCAAGCTGCACATGAACTCACACGTACCCAGCAATCCAGGCGAGGTGATGACCATTGAATACGTGCTTGAGTCGACTCTTAAGGTGAGTCCTGAGTCCGCTTACAAGAGGTGGCTTTTGAGTCAACTAAAAAGTCACCTCGTTACAATGTCACACAGCCCGCTTGACCGGAATCCAGTCGCATGAGCTCGAACGTACCCAGGCAGTTCTGGCGAGGTTGATGACCATCCGTGCCTCTGAATCCACCATCTGGTGCGCCAGCTTGCGAGCGCTGTAGGCGGGCGGGGTTGGCGGTGGTAACCACATCATACATAGCCCTTACCTAGCAATTCAGGGAAGTGATGACCATCCGTGCCTCTGAATCCACATCTGGTGCGCCAGCTCTCGAGCGCTGTAGGCGGGGTTGGCGGTGGTAACCACCGCGCCCGCTGCGATGATCCCGAGGAAGAGGACGGCGTACTCGGGCAGGTTGGGGAGCAGCAGCAGGATCGACTCGCCGGGGCTGAATGCACGGGGGAAAGAGGAAGCAGAGGGACGTAGGGGGGGATGGATCATGGAGCGGAACAAGGGAGGGTTGCGAGCGATGATCCCGAGGAAGAGAATGGGTGTACTCGGGCACATTGTTGAGCAGCAGCAGCAGGGACGGACTCGCTGGGACTAGACCGGGGGAAGAGGGAGGCATAGGGATGTTGAAGAAGGGGAGGATGAAGGTCAAGGGAGAGACTAGTCTTGGTCCCAAGCACGCCCACCGGAGGGAGCACCTTTAGACTGCAGCAGAGGACGAGACGGGAGGGTTCCACTCTCCATCATGTAAGGCTGTAGTCCCGACTGTGAAGCAGAGGAGGAGTCATGGAGAGTGAACGATGGGAAGACATGGCGATTGGAAATAAAGAGCGGGTCTAGTAACTATTTATGCAACGGCATGTGAGCGGGAGAGATAAGAGGGCAGTACCGGATGCCAAGATCGGCGACGCCAGCAGCAACGTTGTACACGAGCTCCCCCACCTGCGCTCGCACAAACACACACACAGACACAGGAACAAATTCAGCTTTTGAGGCGGCTCAAAAGCAAGTAAGAAGGTGTTTCTGCGTTGTACATGGGCTCATCCACCTGCATTCGCACGCACACGGGAATGCAGTAAGACTTGACGGTCAGAGGTTTCTGCGTGTTTTACCTCGTGTGCAACGTGGCTGTTTTCTGATCATAGCTTCATTCTATGATCATAGCTTCATTCCGAGACTTGAGAGACGCCTCAAGAATCAGCCACGTTGCACACGAGCTCCTCCACCTGAATTCACCAGTGTGCCGATGCAGGTGCAGGTGAATTCAGGTGAATTCAGGTGAATTCAGGTGAATGCACACCTGCACACGGGACGGAGAATGCTACCTGAATTCACCTAGGGAGTGTCGCCTGGGGAGTGTCGCCTAGGGAATGTCGCCTAGGAAGTGCCATCTAGGGAGTGTCGCACGAATGTCGCCTGGGGAGTGTCGCCTAGAAAGCGTCACATGAGCGTACGTGAGCGTGCGGCCTTTGAGTCACTGGGAGCAGCAAACGACCTCATCGGCATATACAGTCAGTCTTTAGGGAATGCGACCTAGGTAGTGTCGCCTAGGGAGTCTGACGTAAGGAATGCGACCTAGGTAGTGTCGGCTAGGGAGTGTGACACAGGGAGCGTCACCTGAGCGTACGTGAGCGTGCGGCCAGTGACTCCATCAACGAAAGCGCGTCTGTCGGGCCATCTCGACGCATTCTCAAGCGCGAATTCCGGGAGAAGCACTCCGCCCGGTACTGTCACGCCTGCTTCGTCGGGACAACGGTAGATCACCTCCATAGTGGAAACAGCCAACAGAAGAAAATGTAGAGGGCAGACGGCGAATTTGTCAGTGTGAATAAAAGTTTGACAATGAATATAACACAAGTCATTCTTTGACGTGCGCATCTAGTGTAGTGGTATCATAGTACCCTCCCACGGTACTGACCGGGGTTCGATTCCCCGGATGCGCAGTTTTTATTTGCGTCCCCGCATTCCCGTTTTCCCGTTTTGTCGCCCGCTCTTACCTAGCGTTTTTCACAGTTGCTGCCACATAAGGACCTATGGTTGGCACCTAAGTGGTGTTCACTCGCCCGCTCTTATTACGGGAAGAACGGCTTACTCACCAGCCATAAGGGCTGTTTGCTTCGTCCCGACTCGCGATTCACGTCCCGACAACTTGTCCAAAGCTTCTAGTCCAGCGACCTTTGTGCGTCCCTCAAACGAGTCGTGCCCCTCAAACGAGTCGTGCCCCTCAAACGAGTCGTGCCCCTCAAACGAGTCGTGCCCCTCAAACGTGTCGTGCCCCTCAAACGAGTCGTTTCTCCTAGTACTCAAGTAGCCTGCACTCAGCAGCAGTCCGGACTACTACGCCGTTCCTTTACCGTCGATCGGATCGCACGTGACTCCTAATATTTCCGGTTAACAGCAGCGAACGCGTCGAGCTGTCGATCTCGTGCCATACCGCCTCGTTCCGCGCGTCTCGCAGCAGCCAATTCAGAACCGTCGCATGGCGTCGTAAGTGAACCCTTTTTAGTTTCAGACGACCCCAAACTAGCACTTAGTCGTTCGTCTCTGTCCTTCCGTCGCTGCCTGTCGGCCTGCCTGTCCGCCTGCCTGGGCCTGTCTTTTCCCACGCCTGCTGCCGCGGTTCGGCCTAGCCTCGTGCGCCTTATCGCCCATCATAGTTCCGTGGTTACATTTCGTCCCCGCACCTTCACCTTATCGCTCACCGATGAACCGGCCGCAAACGTTTGAGGGTTGCGATAGGAGAAACGATTGCAATCGTCCTTACTACAGCTCCCACCCCTCCCCACCTCTCCCCACCCCTCCCCTTTCCCCCCTCCCTCCCTTTCCCCCCCCCCCTCTCCTTCTCCACCCTCCCCTTATCTGTAAATTAGCCGGTTATCTGTAAACCGGCCACCAACGCCGGAGCCAGAGGTTCGAGAGAGAAGAGACGAGCCCATGTCGCTACGAGAGGTGGTGGATGCAAAGGTACGTGCGAGTGCGTTTGTGGTTCTTTCAAGTGCTACAATCGTCATCCTCTCAACACAAGTCGATTTTGACCAAATTGCTGAAATTTCATTAACTAAATAACTCTTTATTTTTGCCTAGCAAGTTTTCTTTAAGGCACAC